TCTTCATGAGAGCTACGCCAGCGCAGGCTGGTTGGTCAACAAACAAAACAAAAACCAAGCACTAACACAGCAGAAGGCGTATGACTTTCCAGGGCCCGGTTCTTGCCCCGCGTCTCGGTGACACAACTGCTTCGCTGCTGAAACTAGAATGGTGGGTCCAGCAACCTTGCAGACAAACTGACCACCAAATGTGCCAGCTACACGAACCAGGGGGCAGGCCGCTTATCCACAGAAACACCCTGTTCTAGTTCCTGCGACATGCAACTCGATGCAATTCTGCCTGTAGCGCACCTGGAAGGTAAGCAGGGCTGTTACAATGGGTAAGCATACTGCCCGGGTTCACCAAATAAGACTTGACAAGTAACAATAGCATCCAAGCACAATGCGAAAGCAGGCTCTACTTCCATCAAGTCTACACGGGGAGATTCCTGAATGAGTCGCGAAAATGCCGTCGAATGCAAAGGCGACGACAGCAAACGGTACCAGTCTGAGAGTGTTGCCGTGAAGACATGAAATGTCCGCAGCACTGGCTATTCCGTGCTGGGGTTAATGGCAAGCCTGCGAGTACACACACAAGCGTACCATAAGCCTGGCAAGCCTAACATCGCGACCACCATAAGGTAGCCCATTATTTGGCGACATGCATAAGAAACGCAATACAGCTGGTACCCACTATGCCAACAAAGACAAGCCCTAAATATAAAATTCCAGGAGCTAGGAAGACGATCGAAGCTCAGGAAACAACAGCTTCTGCCACTGCAAGAGCACAATGCCCATAGTTGTCTGGATGTCGAAATTAAGAACAAAGACCAACATGATCTAAATGCCAGCAACTCTTCAACACCACTTGCCAAGACAGAGATGCGCTGCAATTCCCAGCACGTCGTGAACCGACCATGAGGCACTACACAAGGTTACTGCACTGTATCTGTCGCGGCGACAGCACTCAAGCCCGTGCTGACGCAATGTGTGGCGTGCCAAGGCATGCCGCTTGTGCTTGACATGCCGAAAAAGGACTACAATGTCTTCCCAAATCAACGAATGCCGCCGTTTTGATAAAACTCTTGAACAATTGACATGCATCGCAATGCACAAGCACATTGAAACTTCTGAATGCTCGATTTCCTCAGCAGTTTACACAGTACTTGATGTCACAGTGCAAAACGTAGAATCTGAACATGTTTCCTATGCGCGACCGTCAACAGAGAAGTGCTGCAGTGTATCATCACATAGCACATTCAGAAGCTACGCGACTAAAAGTGTTGGTCTTCTGTTTGCGGTGACCAAGCGACTTGGGGCTACAGCCAACTTGCGGGATCAGATTCGTCACGAATCAAAGAACAAATGGTGTGTAGTCTACGCCTACTTCAATAAATGGCTGCGGAATGGAAGGTGATCACATCACATGGTGACACTGCACTGCTTGCAAAACTCAGCAGATCCGAGACTACACGACGCGGGATTTTCGGCATGTAATTAGTCCCAGGCATACTCATGGAGTGCAATAGAAATGGTTCCGTCTGCCATGGTGAGGAAGGCCTTGCCTTCACGGCACAGGGAATGCACACTGCGCTGGACGAGATCATGCAGGAGGGGTGTGGCTGTGGTTGCAGGCACTTCCATTGCAGCTTCACACCGGGAGAGTAGCAGTTCCAGGGGGGTGCCTAAGTGTCGATGCCTTGCGCGGAGATGGCGCAGAATCCACCTACGAACGCGCCGCAGTGTGAGGGAAGGCGTCGAGCGCGCATTCCGCGAACCCGCGCCGCACACACACGTGGCGGCCAAGCTGGCCATGTGATGGGTTAAATCCGGGGCAACCGTGGTGCGACGCCTTCTGGGGCAGTCCATCCACGCTTGTAGCCAAAGCCACATGCAGTCCGGGCACAGCGCATGTGGTTCATCAGGCCCTGGTAGATAGTGCCCGCTTGCCCCACGATTCCAGGCACGGCATTGCCCACGTTTGTGCAACCTGCGACCGCATCCACTGCAAGCGAGGTCCCCACCGTCATGGTTGCACCATCTGCAGGGTTGGGGAGGGCCGGGAAGAAGGACAGCTCCCCCACATTGCCAACAGCAACTAACAGGTGCTGGCAACGCATGCCTATCGCAAGTGCAGGTCATTTGAAGAGCCGCTTTAACGGTGTGCCACTCCGGAAATACACCCCCCCAAGATGGAATCCTATGTAACAAAATGGGGACCCCGCACGCCCTAACGGCGGCAACAATGGTCTCGCCACCAAGCCGCAAACCCGGATTAATTGCCCGAATACGGTTGACGACAATATCCGTTGTGGGCACTAACCACCGCAGTTCGGTGATTAATCCTAGGGCTCCCGGAGAGTGCAGCCATGCCTGTAGACCATGGGCTGGCCGGTGTGCCCCTGGCAGAAAGGGGACCACCAGGGGGTCACCAGCAGGCTGCATGTGATCCAACAGGGTTCGTGCAAGCGCAATCCAAGCATCCAACCTTCGTTGGAACTCCGACCTGACGAACCGTAACCCAAGCAACAGCAAGCTGTTGACCATGAGCGCAGGCTGGATGCGGGAGGCACGCGAGCAAGATGCAGCTACTTCAGCAGCGGCTAAGCCGGGCTGACGGAGCGTAGCGAAAGTGTCGGGCGGGAGGAGATGGTCCACAACAGCAGAGGAATGCAAGCTACAGAGTGTTTTCCCCAAGGCCAATGGAAGGACTCCGCGATAAGCAAGATCATGTCCTCCGGCCCTACGGCTGCAATCCCGGGAGCTACCCCGGGGCTCCTCCGTAAGAAAAGCCTCCCTCTCCGGAAACGCGACCATCCAGCGCCAAGCACTGAGAACGGGCCATCTGGCAGCATCCCCAGGGGACGGTACCCCGGGTAGCAAGTTGGCATTCGACGAACGCCAGGCAGCCGCTGCCGCGATGAGAGAGTCCAAGGGTACAGTTGCAGTCAGAGCTGCTTCGATTGAGTCCCTGAGGGCGTCAACTAGGGGGCGCATATGTGCACAACTCATGAAGACATGTCTAGGAGTGCATGGTCCACAACAACAGAGGGGACACGTGCGGACACTGTCTAATCCGCGATACAACATCCACCGTTGTGCCAGCATCTGAAGGTCCGCATCCGAATGGAGTCTTTCTGTCCAACTGCCCCCGATGGATCGCGTGCACCTAAAAAACATCGGGGCAAGGTCAACATACTTGTCGTCCTGGGCAAGGGCCCATCGCTTCCAAGGCGCTGGGATGTGGCAGTGCCTGTAAAGTTCAGGGTTGAGGCAAGGTTTGAAGAGCTCCTGGCTTACATGCGCAACCAGCCCTTGAACAGGCTTGGAAGCCCACTTAGTCAGAGCTTCCTGCCGCATAGCTTTACGTATGAAGTCCCTCGCTGGCGTAGTGACGGAATGGCCTTGGCAGACGAGATACACGAAAGGGCCACCAGCAGGCTTTCGAATGTCCGGTGGACGGGGGAGCGTCCTCGCCACGGCGCATCCTTCATCCTGCTGCTGATTTCCCTGAGCGAGCACGGGATGGGGAAGAGCAGTGTGAGATTGGTGTGACTTGATGTCAACGCCAACCAGCCCGAAACGAGAAAAAGCAATGCGGGAGTACCACTTGCTGCTTGAGTCTGCTTCACCCGCGAGTTGGATGTTCCATGCAGATGGGAGCTCAATTTGTTGAAGTCGCCATGACGGGATTTGCACGCCTGGCTTCCAAGCGGCGGCGCGCTCCTGTAGAATGTGCCAGAGTCGCGTGACCCATGGCTGGCAATTCTGCTTCAACAGCATAGCCTCATCGCCCACACTGGCTTTGTTGAGAATGTGAAAGAGAGCCGACCGATCAGCAACCAGAAGCATCCACTCGCGATGGCGCCTGTAGCGAAGTGATCCCAGCATAGCCGCGAGCTCAGCTTCATGTACCCCAGTATGTTCCCAACCAATACGCAGAGGCAAACAACCTACGTGACGGTCCGAGACTACGGAGCTGGTACCCCAGTAGTCCCCCAGAGGTCCGAAAGAGCGTGCTTGATAGGAGTACGTGGGGCAGTTATGTGAGACTCGCCCACCGTCCCCAAACATTGCGAAGTCCCAGCCATCGAGCTGTGGACAGGAAGCCTGAGCCATTAAGAAGGCTGTACGAGCATCAGGACAACTGTTAGCGCGCTCCCAAGCTTCATCAGTCCAATCCTCAGGGATAGGAGGTGAGGCATCACCCGGACGGAAGATGGCACACTCCGTCCGCCAATCGGATTCCGCTTGCGCTAAGGCTCGTCTGGCCGCGTTGGCACAGGTTGAAGGGGGGAAGGGGCACGCCAAATCGAGGTGCTCTGTCCAACACTCAACTGAAAACCAATCCTGCACAGGGACTACGGTGCGTATTAAGTGCCACGCACGTCGGATGGAGTTGGCTGCCAGCCCCACTCGACAGTACACCAGCCCTCTGGCATAGGTGGCCGGCTGGAAGGCGACAGTAAAGGGCTGAGACAAGGCATTTTCCCCAGCTATGCAATCAAGGATTCTACCCAACATGCGATCCGTGGAGACTTCAACATACAGCCCATATCCCGCCAGAAATTTGAGAGAACTCAACAGTGTACCTTCATGGGAGTCGAGCTCGCCGGGTGGAGACTCGATAGCCTGCCGTAAAGTATCTCGTGCGATCAAGGCCACCTGCGAGGAACCGTTGAGTAGTAGTAGGACATCAGAGGCAACCGAGCTAAGCAAGAGTTCCACAAGGCATGGCGCACCAAGCCCGCCGGAGGATCTCGGAGCAAGAAGGCTCGCACGCTCCGCCGTGGATCGGGTGCCTACAGTGTGCAGGAGGAGCCGCTGAAACGCCTGATCCTCGGCATGTACATCCTCAGGCGAGGGTATGCCAAGGAGGGGGGCATATGAGAGAATGCCACCAACTACCCACTGCAAGAGTGCAGAGGCCTCGTCCCAAGAGCATCTTTTGGATGCGATGCGTAGTATTGCACTTCGAATGCTTTTGAGAACATCCTCAGACGCAAGGGTGTGCTTGTCCCTCAGAGTGCCACGTTTGCCCAGCAGAACTTCCTCCTCATCTGGAAGCGCCCTTGGAATACCTGCTTAAAGCCGCCACTCCAAATATCCCAACTGGTGAGTTGCAAACCCTGCAACTGGACTTGTGGGCCTGCCTGCTCTTGCCTCTCATCCCAGTCGCTAGCAAAAGCTCGACATTTCTTCCATGAAAACCCGACTCCAGAGCTAGCACTACCCAGGGAAAGGGTTTCGGAGATACCCGCCAGGTCACCAACACCTGAGCCATAGTGCTCTAAATCGTCAACAAAGCCCGTAGCGTGTACAAGTCTACCCCCGCTTGTTCGATAGCCTTGAGAGCTGTTCTCACGTAACCTCAGCATAGGCTCCTGGGCACCACGGGACAGGCTGGGTGAAGACACCGACCCCTGAGGGACGCCCCTGGAGACCGAAACCGGCAAGGTGACGCCTAGGCGAGTTGCTAACCTGACGGCACAGGCCCCGAAAAGCTCTTGACACAGAGCTCGCGCAGCATCCGGAACGCCGCGGCAGTGTTGAACAGCGTCGATTTCTACAAGCTGCAATGTATTGAAAAATTTCTCGTAATCCACAGCCAGCCTTGATATAGGACGTGCGTGCCTTGCTGCATCCTCAAGCAGCAGAGCATCCAAATACAGAACATGTGGGGCTGCCGGGCAGCCCGGGGCGTAACCCATGTTTAGCAAGCTGTACATTTGGCCATCCTTGTCCTGCCGCACCTCTGCCGCCAGCCTCCTATTCAGGGGACCTTCAACGGCTTTGAACCCCTCTTCCATGAGAGAAAGCGGCCTCCAACCCCCCGTGGCCTTGGAAAGATGGACCTGCAACGCCTGTTTAAGAGAAGATGCTACAATACCCGATCGTCTTTGAAAGTCAATGCTTCGCCAGTACAGCTGTTGCACATGGTCGGGGAAAAACTCCAGAAAGGCCATCTTCCACCCCGACGGCCCCGGACACGAGTGACGGTGCTTGCTCAGAATGTGTTGCCGCTCGGCTTGTGTACTGGACGAAGTGAAGGCGTCATTAGGAGGCTCAAACTTTCTAAGCAGCAAGCAGCCTCCGGCAGTGCAGTGCCATCTATCAGCTGACCACCGAAATGAAGCCACACCATTGACGAGCACTAACACATACCTAGCACCACAACAAGGCGCCGGCCGATGTCCCACCCAAGCCCACCCATCCCAGTGGAAAACCCAACCAGCAACAAGCAAGCAGTGCTCAGTCCAGATATGGAGTTGATCGCGATGCCAAGACAACAATAGCCAAGGCCCGGGATTAAGCAGTGCACGGCTTACCTGATGAAGGTTCTCGTTGCCATCCAAGGACATGACAGACGTGAAGTTAAGCATACCGCGCATGCGGCCGGTGGAGTCCTGGTAGCTGCGGATGAGAGCATGGTTCCACGATTCCGCAGGCTCACGAAGCAATGCCCCCCATTCCTGCTCAGCACCGCGTAACACATCGGTAACCGTAGTGGGCCTATAAGCGACACCATCATCACGCACGCACCAGTCAGGAAGGTACTCCAAACGAGGCTGTGGGAGTGGGCGCATCAGTTTTGCCCAGCCCTTCACATCCCCTGTGCGAAGGCGCTGACGACGATCCTGCAAGTAGCCTCTCGACTGCTTGTGGGTGCAGCTGGAGTACAGTGCACGGACATTGTCAATCCACTCCGTAACCTGCGCGATCAAGGTCGGAGCGTGTCTCCTGTCTGTCGCGCTGACGTTGATAGACCAATGGAACGGCGACATACGAGATGTGAGATTACCTACAGCAGAGCGGGAGGAACGGGCAATCGAGGCGCTATTCAACACGGCTAAGCACTGCAACTGGCGAAACTCCGGCACCTCCAGTGCGCCCACCCACTCATCGAGGTTGCTATGAAAAGAGTCCCAGGTTACCGAGGCGTCAGCGGGGTGAGAGTGTGTCTGCACAAGCCTCATAAGCGCAGTGGCCTTGGCCGCCAGTGTTGAAGCCTGTTGCAATGAGATTTTTTCTACAACGAACTGCTTGCGCGGATTGGCTGCGATGTCCTGCAGGTATCGCCTGATGCTTCTGAGCTCGAGTAGGCATTGGTGCCATGCCTCCGATGCCTTGGCATTCCTACGCGAAGCGCCCATCGCAACATCGGGCAAGCAAGACAAGAGAATTTCCTGCAGTTCACTAAAGCTGCCGTCGACCACATCCCGAAGGCGCATGGCCTCCTCAGCCGCTAGAGGTGTCAATTCATCCCACAACCCAACTACACCCTCGCATGGAGGTTTAGATGTGGCATCAAGGAGCATTTCAGCCTCAGTGAAGCGCTCAGAAATATGTTGCAAGCGCAATTTGTGATGCTCAAGCTTGCGGTGCACCTGCTGACAAGTTCGCGCCATATCCGGCGCACCTAACAAACCGGCGACGGCCTTCCATGTGGGAGAGGGTTTGGGCAGGGTGGTATGGATCGCGGGAAGCTGGAAGGTGAAATCCACCATAACTGGTTCATGGTCAGTGCGATGCGACCATTGCCACAAGATGGATGCATTCACTGGGCTTGCAGCCCAGGTCGGTGCAGGCAGGTACCAGACGCTGTCGAGCCTACTGGCTGACACAGTGGAAAAAAAGGTGAAAGCCCTGATGTCCTGATGGAGCGCGCGGAATACATCCGTGAGACCCATGGCCGCCAAGTGGCGGGCTACACAATCCATACGATCAATGTGGGTGCCTTCCCAAGTGTCCAGGGGCTTTGAGACAACAGAGTTCAAGTCCCCACCCACTACCAATGCATCGCCTGCCATTGCTGCCTTGCGCTCTTCTTGGGAAATGAAGGCTTTTAGACTAGTTTCAGCAGCAAGGTTGTCAGGCGAGTGCGCAAAATTCGGGAGATTCCCACCAGTGGGACCGTAAAGTCCTACCACCCGCAGCCTCCCACCATTAGCTAACAGCAAACAAGCGCCGATGCCCCGACCCCTCTCATCTCTGCTGATGTCAATCCAATTACTCGCAACAGAACGGTGTACCGCAATGACAACCCCGGCAGCCTGTTGGGTGGGTAGTGAGCACTCTCTCGCAGCTGTTGGCGCAGAATGGCTTAAAGCGACGTAGCCTGCTGAGTGGAGTCCTTGGAGGGCGGCAGCCTGCTGGTCCGGTCCGACTATCCGGGTTTCTGACAAGATGCCTATGTCGGCCTTAAGCTCCATGAGGCGGTGGCCCCACCACATACCCCACTGATGACGATTTCTGCCCGTCCCACCAGTTTGGAGGGCTACCACTCGGGTGAGCAAACTACCCTTCCACGACATGTCATGTCCCACACACTCAGCAGAAAAGTTTCGTAATTCCTGTGTAGTGCCAGCTTGGCAGTCGTGACGGTGTTGCTGAATTTCATCGGGCTCATCATTGTCATCACTACTGGGCTGAGTGGTGCATCCGGCATTCCACGCAGCAGGTTCATGTCGCGGGAGCAAGCTATAAGGCCACTAACTGCGGAAGAAAGGGGAAGGAGAAACAACCGAGAGAAAAAACAACGGAAGAAGACAAGGCAACACAAGAAAAAGAAGCGAACCAGGAAAGAGGAGAGAAACAAAAGGCCATGAAAGACATGAGTTTGAACCAATAACTGCTGAAGGCCGGGCCGGTCGTCCCCAATCGATCAAGTGAATGCTAGTACGCACCAAAGAACTCAGCAAGTAACCGGCAGGCAAATGAGAAGCAAGGGGGCGAACCGTGCGGCCAGTGCCGAGGGAGTAAAACTCCATGCACAGAGGGCACGCACAAGGCCACCCAGAGGCGCGCGCCATGTGCCGAGGGAACGCAGTTCCAGCACCGAGGGCGAGCACGCCACTAACCAAGTACATCCAGGTACAGTAGGTGCAGTTACCGCAATAATGAACAGCCCATAGGCTCAGGCCTGGAGTAAGACTGACAACACAAGCAGCAATTCAGCAGGCTGTTAATGCGTGTGGTGAGCTTACAGTACCTCACAACACTGGATGTCCTCAGGCCCACGGTCCCATGAATGTTGCCCCTCCCGACTGGCTGTAGGTATGATTTGACCTCCCGCCCCGCCCCCAGAGAAGCGAAAAAAACCTGTGCCTCGACAGTCGCATAGGAAACCGGGCCCCAGGACAGCGAGCCTACCGAACTACGTTGACAATGAGGGGAAACAGCAGCTCAAGGTAATCACGAGCCTCATTTTTTCAACCATCTAGCCAAGTAAGGTGCGCCGCAAGCCAATGGTGGCAATCAAAATTGCCGGGCAGCCCTAACACGTTGCGTGACGGGGTGCCTGGCATGTCCTATCCCAGGGACGGAAGCGGCCAATCAGCTGTCCAAACCGATCAGATTGACATTGCAGCTAGGGCAGCGATGTCCATGAATGGGGGAAGAGAACCATCTCGTGACACACTCCTTGTGGAAGTAGTGCATACACATCAGTCTGACCAGTGTCTCACCAACCTGAAATGGTTGTAGACAGCTAGTACAGTTGGTGATTGGTAGAAGGCAGTTGGCGCCAAGCACGTACTCAGCACCCCGTAGTTGGGGCGTAAGCTCGCAGTCCATTGGTGGGGTCATGGGAGCGATACCCGCCGAGTCGGCGGATGGGGGGCTGGCTCTGGTCACAGAATGGTGGGGAGGGGCCAGGCCGGCAACGTCCGCATCAAGGGCAGGGGGTGGGACAACCGCAGCGGAAGGGACAGACACTTCGCTGCTCGGGGGAGCGGGCGCAGGCAGCACAGAACTCACTCCCTCAGTGGAGGGAGCAGGCAAAGGCGTACCCTCAGCCTCCGATGGAGGCGGCAGGGGGGAGGGGCCACTCGCCGACTCAGCATTGGCAGAGATGTCCCGGACAATTGGAGTGGCTAGTCCCACGCCACTTCTCGTGAGCTCACTGGGAGGTTCAACAGGAGCAGGGAGGTCAGCCGTGTTGTGATTGGGCGGCTCACCTGTTCGCGGGGCTGCATCAGCATTGCCGTCCACCGTGGACTCCAGCGTGGAATCCGGCGTGGATGTAGGAGCAGCAGTGTCAAGCTGTCTAACAATTCGCGAGGCCAATGTGATGCGCAAGTCACCTACAGAAGTTGGGATAGTCACCCCCTGACTGTTTGCAGGAATAGTGCCGCCATGCCACTCCTCCATGATTCGCTTTACTAGGCCTGCATCCAGGAACTGCGGGTGACTCAGCAAGTATGCAGTGACACGGCGCCTGGCATTTGCGCGCACAAGTTGGTGCAGAGGCTGCAAGGATTGAAATGTAAAGGATCGTGCGGCCAGCGTACTGAGCACAGACTCCACAGCTGCTGGGGAAGGCGGTGAAGCGAGACCACCAATGTGAAAGCCTGCCGGAAAAGTCATTGCCAAGCTGGGAATAGGATGTGACACGGAGGTGGGGGAAGGACCATGGACACTTCCTGACGTTGAGACTCCTCCACCAAACATGCGCCTCTGTGCCTGCGAAGAGCGGGGAGCAGGGCTCAAGGGTGCAGGGTGAGTGGGCCGGCGAGGGCGGGCGGGTGGTACACGTGTCCTCCCTGGGCCACGCTCACCCATATGCGATGTGCGGGTGCGGTGTTGGTGCGCCGATCTTGGGCGGTCAGCAGAGGCCTGATGACTAGGCCGGCGGCCTTGGATTGTTCCCCCGTGTGAGCGGCTTCGTGAACGTCCGCGAGTCTCCATAGTTGGTGCGCTGGGTCCTAGTTCCCGAGCTGTCCTTCGCCTGACTAGTGGTGGACGGGAAAACCTGGGAGCTGCGTGGACAGCAAACATAGCATCGATGCTTCTTTCAGCAATATCCATGGTGAGGCGGAGTGCACGCTTAGCCTCATCCTCGAACAGCATGGCGTGGCTGGTAGAGTTTGCACCGGTTACACCCAGGAACTCGAACAAAAAGGCTACACAATGTAACACTAGTACTTGCTGACTCACCTCGGTTGCATTGTCCCTCCGCAACAGCTCAATACTATTTCGTCGTTTCAGGGAAGTACTTTCGCGGTTGCATCACATGATACTCAACCGTCTTGTCTGTGCCTCTGAATGAGACACGGAGAATTGGCAATGATGGAACAATCGCTCTTTTTCACAGCCGCCAATTCGGCGTCGGTAAGCCCACTGCAAGACCACTCAGCATACTACCCGATCATATTATGCAAGAAACTATAGCCCACAATATCGGAAATGTTCAATTCAGCACTCTGACAGGACTCGACACAAGGGCAGGACATACAAGCAAGTCCGAATGTTCTAGGAGCGATCAGTGTTATTCTCGCCGGCACCTGACTGGCAGCAACCATCACTTTCCCTTGACATGCAGGTTCTTAGCCCCGGATGATATAGGCAAGCTTTTGATCAAGTGAAGCCTGCCACGGAACTCCCAGACAAAGGCAGCTGATGCTGCCAGAACTCCACGCCGTAATGATGCAACCGTACAACAGAATGACAGGAGAAAAGAAAGGCCTGACCCTTCTCGACGATATGTTCCAGACGTGTCTGGCTAGAGAGACTGTGCTCTCTGCAAATCACTCGCGAGGCGTCACTGTCACGACATAGCGCAGATGACGCACGTTTAGGGGTACCCTACAAGGATTGCGGATAGGCAGGTCCACTAAACAAGGCTGTCGGCAAGTCTGCTGCCTGTTTTGTGACTCGTTGGTGGCATTCAATCCGATGTGTCAGCGGCTAATCCAGAAAGCTTGAACTGCGCGCCGGTCACTTCCTAGAGTTACAATAGTTACAGGTCATGAACAACACGCTTTTGCCAAATCTTTAAGGACTGCAAGGCCTAACCATCATCTGTACCCTGCCGCGGAGCAGTGTGACTTCAGGAGACATCCTCATCGTCGGAGCAGTTACAACAACAGTTTAATGGAATACAAGAGGGCACTGTCGCCCTAGCACCAGGGAGGGGGGTGCTCATCGTGCTTATCGGGCAAGAAGCCCTTAGTGCCGCCGCCCGGGGTCCACACCTTTCCACAAGAAACCCCCACCCCAACGAGAGTGCTAGGCCCGGGGGGAGCACCACGAGTTGTTGGGGGCCGCCGTTCAGTTCCGGGTACGCAGCTCTCTTAAGTGGTGTTGTTTTGGTTCAAGGCT